TGTCTTTTTCGTAATACGATCCTTTGTTAGAAAATGCTTATGATCATTAAGAAGTTGCTAAAAAGATACTGTACAGCAGAAGAAATCGTATATGTTCTTTGCTAATTTTGAAGAGCAGAATACATTCGACAAGATAGGATGTTTTCAAACTTTCTAACATTTCAAGTAATGTGCTACAAGATGAAAGAAATACAAAATCTGACATTTCGAAACATTTTTAAATAGAAAAGAGACCATTAAATAGATTTTTCTTTTTCACTATTCTCTAGTACATTTATTTAATATGGCAGAAAGTTTGAAAACACCTTATTTTGTTGAATGTACTCTACTTTTCAAAAGGAACAAAGAAAATACATGATTTCTTCTGTTGTATAATAAGTTTGTAATAACTTTATATGATCATAAGCATTTTTCAGTGCAAAGGATCATCTTTTCAGTATTACTACGTGCTTGAAAACGAAGAAAAATGAATAAATGAATTAAACGAAAAATGTCCTGGAACAAGATACGATCCAACGGTTAGAAGCGAAGTGTCGCGAGTGTGAACATCCCGCAGTTATGAAAAATTTTTGTTTTTTTTCCAGTAAAGCCAAAAATTTGACTTGCGTACTCTGAGAACAAAAATTGCTTATATCCTCTCGAAAAAATTGCAACACACCCTTCCAAATGTTGGCTACTGCTGGTTCACTCTGTCTAAAACTTTTTAGTCGCTGGAGATTTTTTGTATGATACTATTTTGTTTGTGCTGAAGAAAAATAATTTCTTTGCTAAATAACACATGAAAGCTTGATCAATAACAATGCTAAATATATGTTTAAAGTCAGAGAAACAAAGTATTGAGGAACTGTTTTCGATTGTTCCAGAACTTCTGGCTAGAACTGTATTTAGAAGTCCGTTGTTTTTGAAATTTTGAGATGTATAAGATCACTTTTTTTGTAACCTTAAAAGTTTTACTATCAATTTATTGGTTTTCTGAATAAGAAAAAAAAAACATGATGTACAATTCCTACAAAATCTGTATCTTCGAAAAACCTACGTAACCTATTTTTTGATGCATAGAGATATTCAAGTTTCTTGGCATTGGAAAATAAGAGTAACAAAAAAAAATTGATTAATTATTTTTATTATTTCATATTAAAAGAAAAATTTTTAACAACATCAACGTCTACGCTTACTTAAGTAAAAAAAATTCTAGCTAGATTAACAGATGCAAAGTAAGAAAAAAAAAAAGAAAAATATTCTCTAGTACTGTGCCAAAGCTTCACCATAATTATCAGTTAGAAAATCTTTTATTTTTTCATATGATGATAATGTTAACACTGCTGCAGGTACTGTTCGTAATAGAGCAGGTATAATACCACGATAAAATCCACGTATACCTTCTTCTTTAGCAATTGTTTTAACTGCATCACGTACATTTCTATAGTCACGAAAATTAGCATCCGAAGTTGAAGATTGTTTTTGTGAACGTCGAGCTTGACCTGCATCTTGAAGACGACTACGAACTATTTCATGTGGATATGCAGTAAAAGATGCTATTAACTTTGAAACACTGGATGCAAACATAATTTGTCCTGTCGATAAATGACCATCAGAAGGTGAACCAGCCGCACATTTCTTTTTAAGATATTCATACAATGGAAATTGAATACCAACGTGGATCTATATCGAAAAAGAAAAAGAAAATCAAACGCTTAATTATGATTCAAACTTAAAAATATGAAAGATAAACTAAGATATTTGCACAAATTTATAAGTCTCTTCTTTTTAGTTCGAAATTACATAGAGATTAGACTTGTCATGGGTGACGTACTAGCACTACAAGAGGTAGCAATTGCTTCCTTACGAGTTTTCCACGCCTCCTGTTTATACTAGAGTAAGACTAATTAATTCAACATATATCTATTTTTTTTCAATACGACCTTGTAGTTCAAATAAGAGGATTAACTCATAGTCTCATGATTTTCTTTATTGCTATCTTGATGAATACATTTCCCGTCATATATATGTCCGACATGTGATTATTTAACTCTTTAAGGACGAGAGACGTATATATACGTTCGGTGTTGGATCAACTTTTAATTAATTTGCACATACATCTTATGATGCTGTTGTGATTGACAATATCATACAGACCATCAATCTATTACACTTCTATTCGTATTGTGAGAATGTGAGTTCAGCTGAAGAGAAAATCTATACTCACTCACATCCTCAAGATTATCATACTCTAAAATGGTTTTAGACATCTTTTGATAGTAATAGGAATAAATATATCCCATGAGAGTTTCGAAAATTTCTTGTTTTCTTAAAAGTAACCTCGATTTGAAAGAGTTAATTAATGCATAATCGATATTTTGATTATTTTGAACTCTCTTCTGTCATAATAAATGATCTTCAAAGTTTAAAACTAGATCACGGTCAATAGCATAATCGTAAATCGGCTCTTGCCTCTCTTAGACTGATTAATTATATAAGTTTCAACAACTTTGACCACAAGAATTAAAGTTCGATTAACCCACATTAAATGGTTAAAACGTAATAGCTAATCTTCTTTGCTGTTTCGTTATCAATAAAAGCGATCATGACATTTGTAGTTTTCTTTTTAATAAAATAAATAGTTAAACAATCCAAAGGACAGCAACTCCATCGTCCTAACTGATTATCATCTAATAGTCAGTGAACGGAAGGTAATTGCAAAAAAAAAAAATGTGAGTTTTTGCTAAATTGTTTTTGAGTAAATTTTGTTTTTGAATAAAAATTGTTACACTAATCTGAAATTCGTAATGTACTGTCAGACAATTTAATACTTAAGCTTCCATATATCATTCCTTTGCAAAAAAATTAAATTCACGCGTCAAAGTTTTTGCTGCTGAAATATTCACGATTGAAGGGAAGAGGACACAAAATAGACCCATTCAAAATTTTATTCCTTCTCCTACGAAATTGATCTTGTGCCATTCCATGAGGCTTGTTATATATATATATATTCTGTAAGAAAATAAATCAATTTACCAAGCCCCACATTGATGGTACAACACCACGATATAATGCACGAAGTCCTTCTGTTCGATAAATTTTTTTTGCTGCATGGAATGAATTTCTATAATCTTGATGATCTGATTGTGTCATCATACGTGTACGAATAGTCCATATTGGTGCCATCAATATATTTGATATAGCACCAGCAGTAACAGATGAAAGTAAATCAATTAACACATCATTTTTAGAATGAATTGTTGTTAAAATTTTTGCATATTGTCGTTTTGATCCTTGATATATACTGAAATAAATCGCCCAATTAGGTACATAACCCTAGAACTTGAATAAGATAATAATTTTCAATAAAATCAAATCATTATCTTACCAACATTGTTGTTCCTAAACCTTTATAAAATGCTCGAAAACCTTCTCGTTGAGCTAATCTATACATTGTAACTATTAATGGTGTATCAGGTACACCTTTTGGTAAACGTTTAACTTGAATACGTGTTTTAACAACATCAAGTGGACTAACAAGGGTACTAACGAATGCACCGGACGCTGCACCAGCAAAAGTGTTGATTTGTGAATTGTTTAATAATACATGTGATTGCTTTTCTTGTTTATTCATTTTATATTTCTGAAATGAGGATTTGATCTTTTGTTTTTCTTTTTTTTTGTTTTTATTTAGTTTTAGTTATGTTTAAAGACTTGAAGTCAACATTTAATGATATAAAAGAAAAAACAGAAAGAAAATGTAATCATAATAAGAAGAGCACATTAGGTCGATTCGTCCGTCAGTTCGTTTGTTTGAAAAGAAAAGACGAAAAAAAAAGAGATAGAGAGAGAGAGTCGATCATCATTTAATGATCTGAAAGAATTTCTCGACGAATTGATTTAACATATTGTGATGGACACCAATAGATCCAAATAATTGAATTTTCTCTTTTATTAAAAATAAAAAATTACAAAAAAAATTCTTTCATAACTAGAAAAATAAAATCAACTTACGTTGTACCCGTTTGAAATCCAACAATTGAATAACCATCTTGACCTTCGATTGGTTCATCAACAATATTTCGTATTTGTGTCATTGGTATTTTTTTTGTTGTTTCCGCTAATTATAAAAGAAAAACAAAAAAAATTCTCAAAAAATATAAAATATCTTCTAATCTTACCTGTATTAATCCATAATTCATCAAGTTCAAGTTTAAATGTTAATCGTGCTTTTTTAGCTGGATGATTTAACATTGACATATATAAACCATCAATTGATTGAGGTAATGGATCATGTTTATTACGAATACCTATTTGAACATTATCCGGTTTACCTACAAATTAATATATATATTTATTTGTTTATTTCAATTTTGTTTTTTCACATTTACTAACCTGTTTTTAATACTTTTTCATGTTTTGTTTGTTTACATAATGGTTCTTTTTTATTTGTTGATGCTTGATCATTTGTTGTTTCTTTATGTTCAGTTGAATTAACACTACCACGAGTAGTTGATAAAACTTCAGATCTTGTTGCACCAACTAATAATAATGTTTGTCTATCAGTTATATTTAAATCTTTTAATGTTGTTGTTGCATCATCCCGTTTAACACTTGTAATTGATTTATTAACTAATTTTTGTACTTGAGGATCGACATCGGTTAATTTATCAATTTTTTCTTTAACATCTTTTAAAGTATCATATAAATCACATTCAATTAGAAATGTTTGAGTTTTATAACGAATATTAAGTGTTATCGGTACTTTTGATGTACTATGTTTTAGTATTGGTTGATCACCAATTTCATCCGAAATAGGATTTTTAAGATTTTCAGAAGCATCTATTGATACATCATCATCCATTTTGAATTTTGTTTTTTTTTAATTAAATTAGTAATAATTAATAAAGCTTTTTCAAGATATGTTATAATCTAAAATAAAAAAAACAAAAATAAGAAAAATTCCATAAATATAAATAATTCTTCAACATTAATGCATTCTCGATTATTTACGTGATAGTATGCACTTTTATGTTGATGAAAAGACACAAGCGTAATATCATCTATCATCACTTTTAATATTCTAAATTAGAAGTGAACCCGTACAGCCCGTATTTCTCATTCATATGATTAGACCAATAAATTTTCTATTTGAATATTGAGAGTACTCTTATACAACATCATGGCTGATCAACTAACCAATCGAATTCTTTGTTGGTCGCCTTGTATGTAGTCGAGGAAGAAAACTCTTTAATTTACGTAGGCATCAAACAAAATAAAAATCCTTGATTTTAGTTATAAACAAAAATTTTCTTGTATTTTAGAGGATGAAATGCTCGCTCAGATTTTACATGATCTATATGTTCCACGAGAATTACTTGATGGTTTACCTGAAGAACAAAAACAATTACTTTTTTGTAAAATGCGTGAAGAACAAGTTCGAAGATATCATGAACGAGAAGAAGAAGAAGAAGAAGAAGAAGACGAAGAAGCAATAATAATAACATCAGGTAGAAATATTTATTTATTTAATCATAATAAAATGAACTGTTTTGTTTTATTTTTTTCTTTATTAGTGAATACAAAGAAAAAAAAGAAACATGTTACATTTCAACTTAATGCGGATGGAAATGAATGTTGTTGGATCATAGGAGAATCAGAAATATCATCGAAAAATGTTAATGAACAACGAAATAACACGTAGATTTGTTTTAATAAATAATATCAATTCTAATTTCTTTGTCATAGACTTAACAATGAAAATATTATAAACGATCATCAAAATCATTTAAGGTTAGTTCGTATCTCTAAAACACATTATAAATTAGAATACTTTACATTATTCTTTGTTATTTACTTACTTACTTACATAACTGATCTCTGTAGAACTATTGCTGGTG